GGGCCCGGCTGACCCGCCGCGGGGCCCGGCTGACCCGCTGCCTCCCCGGCTGGTTCCACCCCGCGGGCGCCGCGCGTTTGTTGGTGTGTTCGAGTCTCTCCAACTTCAGTCTCTCGTAAACCCGCTTTTTCGATCAGTAGCAAAATCCCGCACCACCTGTGCTAGTAGTACTTACTGGAGATTTTTCCTTCAATTTACTGGAAGAAAGCGTTTAAATAGGTGCTACTCAACGTAAACGCTCCTCTAAGCAATATCCGCGAAATCTTGAGTTTGATGTACTGCTTACGATTTTTTCTCCCCTAATACACTTTAAAATAAATCCTTAGGTATTAAAAGGTTTGCGTACAGTATAAATCCGACTGTTGTACTATACTAATACTAATCATATTGTCACATAAGCCCTGGGGAGCTGCTTCTAACTCCTGTGCACCTGGGGCTTCACGGCAGTTCAGTTCAACATTTTCCAGGGTACCTGCCATGTGCCAGGACTGCTGGGCCCTTGGGAACAGACTGGGATTAAGAGGAAGAGGAAGACTCTAACCCTGAAGGAGCTCGTTGGCTTAAGAAAAATGACATCTGTATAAATGACAACAAATGTAGAGAAGAAATGTTGTAGTGGGAGCATTTTATTTCAATGCAGTGGCTTATCAGGATAGAGCAAGTGCCCAAATCTCTATGGCTTTTAAAGTTGTCTTAAACCGGGAAAGACTGCCCATGTGTCATGTTTAAAGATTTACAAGAATTTAAAGGACAGTTTGAGAATGCATGAACTGCAAAAATAAATAATAAGAATTTTAAATGTTAAAGTGTAAACACGTAAAAATCAAGTTAACAGTAAATGCGATGTAAGTAAAATTCCTATAGTAATGGAAGTGTACCTTTAATGAATTCTGGAGGAAGGGCTAGAAGCCTGCCGTTTTGCCACAGTAGTCCTGTATGATATGAAGAACGTGCTGTTATGTCGTGTTGTTTCTTCCAGTTTGTTAGCACTGCTTTGAAGTTATTTTGTATGATGGGTTGAAGTGTTGGTGAATTCCTACTAAGTAATCTATTCTTTCATTTTCCCCAAGGGGAAGCATGTTTTTGTTTGTTTTATGAAGAATGGAAAAAATAAGTTATCCACTAATTAGCAAGGGAAAGTAGTTTTGTGATGCTGTGATGAGCATTTGTTTTCTTAGATATACAGTGTTTGGAAAATCTAAACTTGGTATGGACACTGTTGAGAAACGTGTTTTTACTGCAAACCCAAGCTGTAGTAGAGATTCACTGTAATTGCAGTCAGAGACGTGTTCTGTATTTGGTTTAAGTATTATGTTTGTTGTGGATTTTATTTTTCCATCGAGTTTTACAAGGTGCTAGAAAGCTGCTTTTGACACCGGTTTGATGTTTATTTCATCTCTCAGTTGAACTGTGGACTTTTTGAAGGGTGTGTGGTGTTTAGGGAGTCTGGGTGGCATTCTAGGTTAAGCGTTTAGAATACCATTCATGGTTGTTTAAGAAAAGAGTTTTGAGATACTACTGCTAATAGTTAAACCATGGGTGTTTTTGCCCATCGTTCACAGATTTAGAAGGGAGATTTTAAATGACACTTTCTTCCCTTGAGGAAACATGAGATTTAGAGTTTATGTATTATAGCAGAACGAAAAGTGGTGCCTCAAGGAGTGTATTTATTTCCTTTTAGATACCCCATGTTACCCCATCACCTGAAGAGTCTGGGCAGAGACTGGACCACACCATGGGAGGATCTGCAGAGGTGTTGCTGGAACAGACATATTTCTAGTTGTATGAGGTGGCCTGGACATTATTCTCGTGCTCCTTATCCATACTTCAGTAGTAGGCATTTTTCACTAAATTGGAGACCAGCTTGTTTGTTTGAGTCTAGAACTCAGTTTCAGTACTTGAACTGGAGACCTGAGCACCTGAGCCAGACATCTTTGATTCATCTTTCTAGTTACAGCATGAACTCTGAGGGAGATGAGCCTTCATCAAAACGAAGAAAACACCAAGGTAAAGGTGACATTTGTCTTGGTGCAGAAATAGACATAAGTGATAGACTAAGTTGAAACTTTGCTTAAGAAAACCTCCTGCATATTTTAGAGATGTTTGGTGTTTATTTTTAGCTGGTAGTTTTCTATTAGGAAAGAAATAAATTCTGTTTTAAATGAAGTGTTTCTTTTTCTCTTCAATTGTGTATTTCTGGCAGTAAAAATGGAAGTAACGCTACAGTAGAATAAGGTTGGAAAAGAATGGAGAAATAGGTTAAAAACAGTAAGTTAGTTTAAGATTCATTTTCAAACCCAGTGGTTTTGATACTAAGACTTCTTAGACTTCCTAGAAATTGGTGGATGTATTCTGGAGCCACACAGATCTATAAAAGAATTTAATCCTGCGTTTTCATTTTTAATGCTACCTTTTTTAATAAACATTATATAAGACAAAAGAACTTTTTTTTAAATGAAAAAATCATTAATGAAAGATATTTTCTTACAGAATAAGATTTTAGTGTCTTAAGTCAGTATTTTTCAAACCGGGACCTTATTTTATCTTTTAAAAGGGAGCCACATTGAGTTTAAGTTTGAGAACCAGAGTTTTATCTAAATCTGTTGATTACTTCCGTTTTCCTCATATTCTGTAACAGTTCATTAGACTCACTCTTTGCCACCAGCCCTCTATCCCACAGGAAGTATAAATTTTCTAAGTAGAATTTGTAGTCATCTTTCTTACTGAACTGTAGTTTTCAGTGAAGATAACTTCCCTGAAGATATTTGAAAGTAGGCAGTGTGGGTGTTCACGTGTAGGGAGCTGACACGTCCACTTGGCAAAGGAACGCACTCAGTGAGTCTCCTCTGGAAGTCAGAGCTAGAGGAGTTAAATTTGTAGTTACTGATCTTCAGGAGGCTTCTGCCTTTTTTACTGGCCAGTAGTCTATGTGTATAGACTTCAACTTGGTTCCAGTCAGACTGGTTAAACTAATGTTCAAATAAATGTATAATGTATTGCTACACGGTTGCAAAGCATCTCCTTAGAAAAAACAATACATTTAAGTAGAAATTTTAAGCACCCAAAAGTGAAAATCTACTTGTGTGGTACTACTTAACCATATCACGTAATTTCACCACCCAGGGACTCTATGTAGATAAACAAATACTTGTTTGAATGAATGAAAGGTGTATTTAGAGGCATTAAAACTAGGTTTCTGAGAGTAATCCATAGTCTATGAACCTCAGGCTGTATGACAACATCAGCTTTCTTCATTGGTGTATTTGGTGTTCATCAGGTCAGCACGCCCCTCTGTTTAACCCTTTGTAAACCTGGTGTGCTCTCAGACGGAGCTGTGGCGTCAGCATGGGCTTACGGACCACTGCTCTCATTTCTCACCACCGTAATTGTTTGAACTTAGGCGACTTAACCTCTTGCTCCATGGTTTCCTAATGTAAAATAATACCTACGTGAAAGCCTGTTGAGGATGAAATGAGATTGTCAGAGTGCCTAACACACTGTTGGCTTCATAGTAGGTACTCAGAAGGTTATGTTGTTATCCCTTTAATGGATGGGGAGTTACGTTTACATACTGATAAGCCTTGATTGCAACCTGACTCTCTATATGTCCGTTCTTCCTAGGTGATGTGAATAAGGAAAATGCTCTTCGTTAAACCATGTTTGTGACTTCCGATATTTCACTAATACTTTTCAATCAAGAGAACAGCATTGCTAACTTGCCTGTCACTTTAAAGTGGTATTTGAAGGATTTGTGTCACACAATAATGATTTTTTAATTAGGCACCCTAGAAACCCAATCAGGCCTGTGCTCACTTTCTTTGATTCATCTGTCTTCTCTGCTGTGATCACCTTGTTCCTCTTGACATGGAAGGTATATAAGCTTTTGTGGTGTGAATTTATATTGTGAAGTATATGAAGACCAGAGACTGTCCACTCTATCAGTGGTTTTCAAATTGTCTTCATGGAACCCTAACGTTTGAACACATTTCTGTATGTTTGCTAAAAGCAATGTGGTCAGGACAAAATGCATGTTTACCTTGTCATTCCAGCCCCAGCCTTCCATGAATTGGTGTTTAATGACATGAAAAGTGATGCTGAAGGGTTCTACAAGCTCTGGAAGTTTGAAAGCCACTGTTTTAATTAGAGAACCTGGTAGTCTCAGCTATTTAAAAAGTGGTTTATAAACTCTTAATTGCCAGGACTATAAAAATACTAATGGGTGTATATGCTATTATATATACATATTTTGTAAGAAAATACGAATAAGGTTTTTAGACCTTTATCTTTCATGTTTTAAAGTGGCAGTGACACCAGTGTAGAGCTATAATGATTTGTGATGATGGGTGAACATTTTGTTTGCATGACTGTGTTGTATACGCATGAGGACTTTTTGATTTGTGACTAAAACCATATAGACAGTCCTCAATTTATGAATAAATTGTGTTCTAGAAACTTGTTGATTATCAGTTATGTTTCCCTCGTGGAAACTATGTTATAAATCTCAAAGTGGCTCTATGGAGCTAGTACAAATAGCCTTAGTTCTGGGCCTTTGGGGCGGGATTCTCCATGTTCATTAAAGGACAGGGAAGGAGATGGTTTCCTACTCTCTCTTGGGAACTCTGAAATAGTTGAAGGTTTTTGTTTATTTTACTTTTGTTTCCTTCCACCACCTTTTCTTTGCCTTTCTCTTCAGGCTCCCGGTACCTTCATGACATCATAATCCTCTTACCTCCTTGTCCCACCCAGACCTCGCTATTCATAAAAATTATCTTCCTCTTCTGTTCTCTGGTCAGAATTTCTCTGTCCTTGGTGCAGCAGCTGTCAGCCACTTAGATATTGAGGAAAGCAATCTGATTAATTTATTAGCAGATATTTTTTAATTTTCACTTCATTTCCATTTTTATGTGCAGTGTATTGATATTCTAATTGTAAATATATTGTCATTGTAGAAGATTTGGGAAAGTCTTCCACAATTCTACCACCCAAAGATAACTACTTTTAAAATACTAGAGTATTTCCTTTCAGTCTTTTTTCCCCATGTACTTATGTGTGGAATATTTTAACCCCAATTTCTTTATTTTTTATTGTACTTCAAGTGAAAGTTTACAATTCAAGTTAGTCTCTCATACAGAAATTTATATATACATATTTATATATACATATATATACATATTTCCTGTGTCCGTTCAACCAGCTCCTGACCCTCTCTGCCTTCTCATCTCACCTCCGGACAGGAGCTGCCCGTTTAGTCTCATGTATCTACTTGAGCTAAGAAGCACACTCTTCACAAGTATCATTTTATGTCCCATAGTCCAGTCTAATCTTTGTCTGAAGAGTTGGCCTCGTTAACCCTGGTTTTTAATTGATGGCATTTTGGACATTGTAATCTAGTCAGTGAGAACCGTCATGCAGGATGGAGAGACGTATCCTGAGGCTGAGATTCTTTTTATTTTTATTTTTATTTTTTGTTGTTGTAGTTTAAATGAAGTTTACATTTCAAGTTAGTCTCCCATAAAGAAGTTTATATATACATTGTTATGTCACCGTAATTGCTCTCCCCATACTGTGACAGCACACTCCTCCTTTCCACCCCTGATTCCCCATGTCCATTCATCCAGCTCCTAACCCTCTCTGCCTTCCCATCTCACCTC